CAAGCTTGAATTAATTAATCCATGCAATTAATCAATTAAAGCATTACTAGGTGATTAAAATCCCCTGCAATCAGTGGCATAATGCACACTCAACTCTGCGGCTGGAGATGTGATGGACTGCCCTAGTTTTTAATGTATGGGGAAGGCCTTAACTCAGCAGTAGAGCACATGCTTTTCATACAAAAGGTCTAAGGGATCTCCAGGGAGATCCCCTGTTTGAAATCTTGGAGAGCTCCTGCCAAACAGTATGTAGTTCGATGGAGCCATGGTCTTATTCGGCCTGGGAAAGTTGAGGGCAGGGCATGCCTCCATGTCATGGAAATGGTGCAACCTTTGCATAAACAAATGCAGATGGTTTGGATTTTAGTGAAAGCTTGTCTCAAGCCATTCTGAAACCAAACAAAAATGACTTACAGGACAAGGCATCGGACTTCCCATACCCCAACCCATATAAATAAGAGACCAATAAGACTGGGTTTGGGGTAAAAACAGGCCACAACTTTATTGAATACAGATGAAAAAGATTTGGCCTTGACCGTGGGGCAATCAAAATACTTCCGGCCCACCCACCAAAAGTGACGTGTGGTCAATCCAGGCAGGGGTTCCTAAGACGTACATCAAATAGGGTGACCCCCACAGGGACCGCCGTCTGGGGGAGTGCCTTCGGACCTGGCCCCCCTGGGCACATGGACATGGCCACTCCCCCTGGATTCCTTTAACAGGATACCCCAGCATTTGGAGGGGCAGGCAGGGACTACAACCTCCCCTCCGCCCAAAACAAGGGATTGCCCCAATGCCCAACCAGTTGTGATGAATTGCTATGAGGTAGGCAAAACCACCAGGTAAGAGCCAAATATCCTGGTGGGCAAATTCCTACCTGACCCTGTAAAGAACAGCAACCACCGTAGTTACAGCAAAGTCATTGACTTATCAGCATAAACCATGGGTGGGTGGGATGGGGAAACCCAGCGCAGGAACAAACAGGCTGTGCCCCAGGTGTGGGCTGCTTAAATGGGCAAGGGATGGATCCGAGGGAAGCCCACCGTCAGCTCCATTGGCTCTGCCCCCTGGCATAGCCCACGGCCCAGCCTGCATCTCCATTCACCAATGCAGGGTACAGGCTAGGATCCACCCGGCCACCTATCAGGAAGGGCAGTGCCATTTGAATTCCACCATCGGGGCCCCAGTGAAGCCTCTTCCGTCCAGCAATGCCACCGCACCAAGAGAGGTAAGCAGACTTCTGTCACCCAATAAACCAACCATTTGGCTGGACTCAACAGCCATTTAATGGATATTGTAGTACTTTCCAAGGCATCAGCCAATCATCCACAAATATGGCTTTCTAAATATCCTCTAAATTGGTGAAATTTGTACAGAATGCAGCTATTCACTGGTCAGAGAAAGCATCTCAGTTGGAAGTACACTGGAATATAAGAAGATGCTTTGTGCTGCATCATATCATTAGGCTATCTAGCTCTGTATTGTCTACACTGACTGGCAGTGGCTTTTCAGGGTTTCAGATCGGGGGTGTTCCCAGCCCCACCTGGGTGTTTATTGTCAATTGGGTGTTTATTGTCAATTGGGTGCTTCTCATACATGCATTTATTTTATCGCAGCATCCACATGGCGGTGCCAGCATCAAAATACTAGCCTGTATCCCCGCTCTACTTTTAATCCAGATTTATTCCTTCTGAAGAGTTAAAAAGTAGTCCCATTTGCCAACAACCTGCTTGCAATATCTGAATGGCGCTTTTACAGTATTAAGCCCCCGTCTGGAAGCAAACCTTATTAAATCAAAATCCGAATGGATCTGCCAGAAGCTAGTTTCCTTGTTTTAGACTCCCATCTAGTGTCCATAGTTTTGTACTGCAACAGAAACACCTGGATTACTGGCAAATTGCAGGTGTTCCATGTTGTAGCTTTGTGAAACAAGTGTGTTCATGTCTCAGATTATAAATTGACAACTTTGCAGGTTTTCCTCCAAGAGGGTTTACTCTTTCCATGAAATATTTCGTAAGCTAAAAAACAAACAAACCCTGAATCAATTGCCAGTGACCCATTTGCAATACAGTGGTACCTCGGGTTAAGAACTTAATTTGTTCTAGAGGTCCGTTCTTAACCTGAAACGGTTCTTAATCTGAGGCACGCTTTCGCTAATGGGGCCTCCTACTGCCGCTGTGCTGCTGGCGCATGATTTCCGTTCTTATCCTGGGGCAAAGTTCTTAACCTGGAGCAACCACTTCCTGGTTAACGGAGTTTGTAACCCGAAGCATCTGTAACCCAAAGCATCTCTAACCCAAGGTACCACTGTATTAAGCTCACATGAATAGCAGTTTCCCTTTTGTTTGGTTTTTAACCTTATTGATAAGATTGGGGGGCATGTAGTTTTAGTTCTGCGTTACTTTTAAGCCTGAGCAAAAAATGTTATTTGGTAAAATTCCAGAAAAAAAGAAGCTGTAGCTCAGCCCTCAAGAATGCTTGCATCTTTTCATGCATTACTATAGCAATGCAGGTGTGGGGAGCTATTTCTCTGGAGTGGGTTCTCTTGCGGTTTGATTGATGCAAATAGTGTGATTGCAACGCTCTGAAGAGAGATGGGCGGAGGAAGCTGAGGCCACCTGCCTGGACGTCATTTTGCATGGATTGGGCCTTAGCTGAAAACAAATTACTGTACCTACATACCGTATTTTTTGCTCTATAAGATGCAGCAGGCCATAAGACTCACCTAGTTTTTGGAGGAGGAAAACAAGAAAAAAATATTCTGAATCCCAGAAGGCAGAACAGCTGCGCAGCGATCCCTCTTGCTGTTCTGGCCTCTGGGATAGCCGTGCGAAGCCTCTTCAGGGCAGCAGGATGAAGGCTCCCCGCTGCCCTAAAGAGGCTTCACGTGGGATAGCTGCTCAGCCTGCATTCGTTCCATAAGATGCACACACGTTTCCCCTTACTTTTTAGGAGGGGGAAAGTATGTCTTATAGAGCGATAAATACAGTACATGGAAGTGTATTTGCTGCAGTTGTCGTGTTTCAAAATCCTGTTTCAGTTTTGAGGAGTACATAGTATGGATAAGTTTAAAATGTGCTTAGATTGCTCTCTTGTTTCAGCAGCATAGTAAACATCCAAGGCTTACTGAAAATGAATGGTGCTGTACTGTAGCAGCGCTGAGTCAAGTGCATCTAGTGCCCTCTTGTGGGCACAAGGACTCCAATGCCCACATGCATTTTCTACCTGCAATAAGTTCCTTGCTCCTTTCTGTGGATGGGGGCAGCTCTGTCTGTACCTTCCTTTGCACAGGAGGCCACAGCTCAGCAGTCTCAGCTTTCTTGTAGAAAGTTGCAGGTCCAACCTTCTGGGATGAAGATTTTTCATCTTCTGTAAAAGGGATTATGGGGCAGATGACAAAAGCACTTGTCAGGAGGCTGAAGAAGAAAACTTACTGCCGTCAGTATTGACCCTGACACTTCCCATTTCCTGCTGCCTGAGTCCACAGCAGAAGAGTTGAGGGAGCCAGCTGTGAAACCTCTGGCCTGAGGAGGAGGAGACCCTGCTCCCTCTGAATCGTGCTTAACTTGGGCAGCAGTGGCTCCTTGAAGTGCCAGCAAGACTAGAACAAATACTGCTGTGCTTTAGGAAATATGGTTCATTCACCTATTTACACCTTTGGTCTGCATGGGGGGAGTCCAGATCTTACGGCAGGGTCACCAACCTAAGGCCCAGGGGCTGGATGCGGCCCAATCGCCTTCTCAATCCGGCCCGCAGACGGTCCGGGAATCAGTGTGTTTTTACATGAGTAGAATGTGTCCTTATATTTAAAATGCACCTCTGGGTTATTTGTGGGACCTACGTGGTGTTTTCACATGAGTAGAATGCGTGCTTTTATTTAAAATACATCTCTGGGTTATTTGTGCGGCATAGGAATCCATTCATTTCCCCCCAAAAAATATAGTCCGACCCACCACATGGTCTGAGGGACGGTGGACCGGCCCACGGCTGAAAAAGGTTGCTGACCCCTGTCTTACCGCATACACATTTGCAGAGGCAACCTTCAGGCTGCTTCCCTCAAAGATGGACCTCAGCTCTTTCTCCCCTTCTTCTTCCTCCCAGAAAATGCCTTTCCCCCCCCTCCAGCAGTTACCTGGCAACCTCCCAAATCCACAGTCTCTGTTCACACCTGGGAGCAAGTGGAGAAGTTCCTTTGTACTGTTAATGGCCTCTGTTGTACTCTTTATAGCCATAGCTGGACCAGGTTGGTTTGCATAAGCCAGCCCAGGGATTTCCTAAGTTCCCTCTCTGGCACAGTTCTGCACTTAAATCCATATCCCAATCGATCAAAACCCTGGCGTTTCTTAATTTCTAGGGTTTACCCCCAAATATGTAACAATTTCATTGGCTGGATTCCTGCCTTGCAGAGGGTTGGACTAGATGACCCTGCGGGACCCTTCCAACTCTACAGTTCTATGATTCTATTCTAGTTTTCTATGCTAGTTTAGAACATCCTTTTTGGGGTGGCATAGCATGCCATCCTGGGAGTGGTAACAGTCCCGCCACTGGCTTCCCCCATCACCAACAGTTGGGGGGAAACTAAGTCTCAGCTTCTGCACTGCTGTGATTTGTGCATATTTGTCTGCAGGAAGTACAACTGACCATAAGGGACACTTTATCCTAATACAAGGTTTCCAGTGCTGCCAGCACGTTAGAGGTGCAATTTGCCATGGCATCTTGCTGAGCTTAAGTAAATAAAAATGCTTTCTTCCCATTTGCGAGTTGCACAGAAGGAAGCTGTTGTTATAGTGGTGCCTCCCTTTCGTTTTGTAATTTCTTGTTATCAAGATTTCTAATGTGCTTAGGGACACTGGCCATTAATTTGATGACCAGCTGTGGTTTTGTCCAGGAGGAAGAGATTTCCAAGTAGCAGAAGAGTTCCTTGGTAGTAGCTTTTTTCATGTGTGTGGCTCACAGATCTGTTAGCTCTGTGGTGTTGAACTTCTCTTCCTTTCTTGCAGTTTCGACGTCGACAATGGCACCTCATCGGGACGGAGTCCCTTGGATCCCATGACAAGCCCCGGATCGGGGCTCATTCTCCAGGCTAACTTTGTTCACAGTCAACGGAGGGAATCCTTCCTCTACCGGTCCGATAGCGACTATGACCTCTCTCCAAAGTCTATGTCCAGGAACTCCTCCATCGCCAGTGATATGTAAGTATTTGACGCAGTGTCTTTCAAATTCACATGGCATAAGCTTTCATGGTCTAGAATCTGCTTCATCAGGTGCAAGAAATGCCATCCTTCGTTATTAGGCTTATATAGGAATCGATAAAAGGTCGAAAACAGTGGAATCAAGTCAAGGTGCAGGATGTGAAAATACAATGTATTCGTTAAATGTATGCAAAATGAGCAGCGACAGGACAATCGGCCTAGCATAACTAAGCTGATTGACACCTGTAGTGGATTAGGAAGACATTGTCTTTACACAATACTGAATAAAATGAAAAGGGATTTAGACTAAACATTAGGAAAAGCTTACTGGATGTTCCAGCTGCTTTTCAGGGGAACAGACAGATTTTGAAGATGATGGGCTCTCCTTCATTAGTTTTTAAGCAGATGCCATATGGCCACCTTATCCTATAAAGGGATGCTGGGGGGGGGGTCCCTCGCATTGGCAAGGGGTTAGATGACATACGAAGTACCTTCCAATTCTGTTTTTCTACCCTAAGGACGTGCAAAGTGTGTAGGTTCTGTATGTGCAATCTGGGATGCTGCTTATTCATCAGAACACACAAAACTGAAGCATAAACTCAGTATGGTCTGTATATCGACTGTCAGCGGCCCCTGCTAATTTCAGACGGGTTGTTTACTAGCCTTCTCACAGAGGGGGGTTAACTCATAGAATCATAGGGTTGGGAGGGGTTCCTGAGATTCATCTAGTCCAACCCCCTGCAATGCAGGAACATGCAACTTTCCCTTACGGGGTTGGACTTGCAACCTTGGCATTGTCAGCATCGTGCTCTAAGCAACTGAGCTATCCACCTTCTGCATTCAAGGCAGGTGCTTTGCCACTGCAGGGTCCAAATTCAAGGGAATCTCCTTGCTTGTGCAAAGCCTGTGCACACGCATGTCATATGCCAGTGGGCTTCTTTGCAGATCATGCCAAACACACGAAGCCAAGGGCTAGTGGGTGTGGTCCCACATCATGTTTACGTTTGTTCAGGGTAAACGGAACAATGCAGCTGTGCTGATTATTATTTATTAGCTTTGTATAGCATCCTTCTCCCATCGATCTCAGGGTGGTTCACAGCATTCAAAGGCAAGATAAAAGCACAAAAGACATAATAAAAAGCCCGTAACCACCCCCTCCCTTAAACACATTTAAAATATATATGGTATGTTAGTCTACAGACTTGAGCATGGTGGATACACTTTTTAATCTGACCTTTTGAAAACATAAGCAAATGACTATTTGTGATATGTATGTGTGGTATGTATATCTATCAGTCTTTTTTAGAGCAGATATTGAATGGGCATCTGTCATGGATGCTTTAGTTGTGATTCCTGCATTGCAGCGGGTTAGACTAGATGACCCTCAGGGTCCCTTGGTCCCTTCCAGCTCTACAATTCTATGGCTATGCACTCCTGCAGAACCAGTGATACAGATATATACCAGCCACCAAAACACAAACAATGAAACCCCCCAGGCAGCTGATACATTGGGTATACAATATTCAATAATACACATATTCAGTAAACTACATATTCAATAATATTCAATAGTAACATATTCAAATCAACCATATGTACACTTCTATATACCTTAACGCTCCTCCTTCCACAAGGTTTATTTAACTTTTAACATTTTAATTGCCCCAAATTGCTTAAACCTACTCAAATAATTCAATATTTTCTCAAACCAATCCTCCTCTTTCTTACTGACCTTAAACCCTTTCCTTCTATGTAGCCAGTGATACAGATTTAACCCCACCCTCCCACCCATCAGTGGAAGTCACAAGGGATGTCTGCTAATGGCTGGGGGACCATTGGTTTGGGGAAACTGAGCTGGCAGGCCAAACTGAATCCCCTGGCAGGCCATGATTGGCTTGCAGGCTAGAGATTCCCCACCCCTGGTGGAGCTGCTTCCTTTTTAAAAAAATAAAGAAAATGATTTGGAGATTTGATGGTGGATCTAGTCCGACCACAGTGTGCACTTGACAGCAGTGACTCCCTGCAGGAGACTGATGAGTGCTGCCTGATTACCAAGATCAGAGGCAGGCAGGGAGTAGATTGGGATCTGTCAGAAGGTGGCTGGATGATTTGCAGGGCAACAGCAAGGGTATCTCTTTACCTACGAGTGTCTCTACACTTGGCACTTGCACTTCCCATATAGCTAATTCAGTAGAGCATGAGATTCCCAATCTCAAGGTCATGAGTTCAAGCGCTACATTGGGTAAAAGATTCCTGCATTGCAGGGAGATGGACTACATGTAGATGATTCTCACGGCGCTTTCCAACTCTACAATTCTGTGACTGGCGACTGTTCCCTAACCAGTGGGCTGGATTAGTCCTACAGACTGATAGTTGGTGCACTCTCAAATTGAGAGCAGTTAGCATGGATTTAATGGACTCTTGGGTTTAATAGCACTTAACTCTCAGCTGATTTGTCATGTCTCTAATAGCCAGTTTGAATGTATGTTTCATAAGACCATTTAAATATAGTATTGCCTCTTCATTGGTGCCAGACTTCCTCTAGCTTGGTGTGGTGATTATAGGGTTAGGCCAAATCATGTGAACATGTTTGTGCCTGCTTAAGAAACAGCGAGGTAGTTCTGTTTTTCTTGTCTTTCCTAGAGGTTTTGATTTTGTTTAGATGTTGAGAGTCTGCCATGTTGGGTCATGAGCAACGCATTTTTCCCTTTCAGCCCACCCTAGGGTCTCACTTGAATTTACAGAGTCTGGTTTTACATCCCCCTATTTTGAGCACGGAATTATTATGTGGCTTCAAGAAGTCTGTAAAATGGAAAGGAGGTTGACCTATCTCACAGTCTTGCTGTGAGCAGAAACAAGAAGAAAGGTCTGATTTGCTTGTTAAAAGAGCTATTCATATGTCTGCCTCGTTCTCATGATAGAACCAGAGTTTAGTTGTTGCTCCAATGATCCTCTATAGCTGTGAATCTTCTGTGGATGCCTGCAGAGGCTTGCAGAGCAGGTAACGGGGGAGAAAACAGGACATCAATGTAAACCACAACAGCACCATCCTAGGATTGTGTATCAGAGGTTAAGTAGAACCATGTCTTTCATCCTCGACAGCACAAGGACCGGTTCAATTTGCGTTCCTTTACGAGGGTTCCTCCTCCCTCACAGTCAGAGATGGAGCCATAGGCTGCAACCTTGCAGTTGCTCTTCACAGAATTGTCACCTTTATCTCTGTTTGGAATCTACCCAAGGCATGTTTTGGCAGGTCTTATTCATATTCAATTATGGATTGCCGGAGTTTGTGAGAATGCGTTGGAAAGCTTGGCCTGAATGTTTCACTCTTCGAGAGCATTTCCATTTAACAAATAAATAAAAAATGAGTGATTTTCTATATTATGTAATCTCTCCAGTTGACGTCCTTCTTAGGTTAGCCAATGACCCTAGTAACTTAAGAGGAAAAGACTCCTATGTAACCCATGTGCCAACTTTTGTGTTACTCTGCAGTTTTATTTATATGAGCGTGATAAATACTTTGGGCTTGACGGAAGGTGTTTTTCCCCCTGCAAGAGTCTGGGTGACCTCCTTGCTTCCCCCTCCCCCCTAAGAGACGTCACCCCCTGATAACTTTACTCCTACGTCACAGTGTGATGTGGGTACCGTTGCTCCAGCAACAGCACACTCTCCGTAACACTGAGGACATGTGAGTCAGTTGAAAAGTTTTACTGGGTTTTTATTAGCCTATGAAACACTTCCCTGTCATCTGCGGTTACTAGCTTGTCCGAACCTCGCAAATGGTTATCCGTTCGTTAACACTTGATGCGAATCACTTTTGGTGTTCCAGTGGGCTGGCCTCTCCAATGAAAAGTAACTGTGGGCGCTACCAACTGCCAGGGCATGCCTGGCTTGTTTTTTGGGATGCAGGATTTCCCTGAGTTTAAAGGAACACAACCCTGAGCACTCAATCTTTGCTCATTTATCTGTTCTCTACAGCTGTGTGCAAGTCTTAAAAAAGCCACACTGGAGTCATAGGTGCTTGTCCACCCTAAAGTTACTTCAGATAGCGCAGCTGGAATGAATCCACGGTGAGGAAGTAGTTGAGGACAAGATGAATAAAGAACCATGTATCATTTTGAACCTGATGGAGGGGAGCAAAGCCATCTGATACTGATCACTTTGCTGTTTTATTTTTCAGACATGGAGATGACTTGATTGTGACACCGTTTGCTCAGGTAGGCTCCACATGCCATGATGTAGCCATATATGAAAGGATCAAACGGGGGGAACTGTTTTCAGGCTTTGGATGAGCTACAGCTTTTGTTATTATTACTATGATGTTCCAAAAATAACATTCTGAAATGGAACCACTTCCATGGCTAACTTGTATTGCTTAGAGGTGCTTAGAAAGAAATCTGATGGTGTCTACCATCTAAATTTTATTTACAGTGGTACCTCGGTTTACGAACTTAATCCGTTCCGGAAATCTGTTCTTAAACCAAAGCAATTCTTAAACGAAGCGCGTTTTCCCTAATTAGGCCTCCCGCCGCTGGTGCCCTTCCACCATTCGGATTCCGTTCGTAGATCGAGGTAAAGTTCGCTAACCGGAGCACTACTTCCGGTTTTGCGGGGTTCTTATACCAAATAGTTCGCAAACAGGGCTGTTCTTAAACCGCTTAAACCGTTCTTAAACAAATACCACTGTATTTGTTTGCTACATTTGTACCCCACCTTTCCTCTATGGAACTCAAAGGGGTAGACATGATTCTGCCTCAGTTTTTATCCTCACAATAACACTAAACCAGACTTTCTCAACCTCGGCCTCCAGATGTTTTGAGACTACAATTCCCATCATCCCTGACCACTGGTCCTGCTAGCTAGGGATCATGGGAGTTGTAGGCCAAAAACATCTGGAGGGCTGAGGTTGAGGAAGCCTGCACTAAACTGAGGCTGCATTCCCCCTATACATTTGAAGCACACACCCCTCCCCAGAAAGGGGTCCTGGGAATTGTGATTTGTTAAGGGTGCTGGGAACTGTGGCTCTGTGAGGTGCAAACTACAGTTCCCATGATCCTTTGGAGGGGGATACGCTTTAAACGCATGGTGTGTCCCAGCCTGAGAGTTCAGAACCAGCCCAAGATCACTCAGTGAGTTCATGGCTGTGTGGGGATTTGAAGCCAGCTCTCCCTAGTCCTAGTCTGACATGCTAGTTCTTATATCAAACTGGCTCTCTAAGGAGCTGCATAGGCTCACACAAAGAACACGCAATGACCCAGCGGAAGTGTGGGTAGGTGGGAGTTTCCTTAAAAAAGAAACTTCTTTTCTTTGAACATCAGACTGCCATGCTGTTCAGTGAACTGATTTTGAAGCATGGTGAGCCCTGATGGTGCAAAGCACCTCTTAATGAGGGTCTGAAGCAAGGGCACACTGTTTGCCATCTCTGCCCCAACACAAGTGATCAGCAGTGCCACACCAGCAGTTTGTGAATGTGCAAGGTACTAGTGCATTTGAGATTCTATGCCCCAAACTGTTGCCATTTTAGATCACTAGAAGTACTATTCCAGTCCAGGTACTTTAAGGTGTGCTTCCAATGTTTGTGTGTGTGTGCGCGCGTGCGCGTACACACACACACACACACACACACCTACACACCTGTTTGGTGCCAGCAAATCAGGGTGACGTGGATTTATTTGATAACAACTTTATATGAATGTCAAGTGTGAGAGGATCTTATTGTGCAGTTGTTAACTGCTGGGATAATTCTGGTGCAAATGGCAGTGGACATCAGTAGACCATTCTTTTCAAAGCGCTGTAATTTCAGAGAAACAAAGAGTGTTTTATACAGAATTTTTGTCTTCTTTGAACAAGGCTGCTTTTTAAACAAATAATGGCTTCTTTTGTGAGAAGGAAAGCGACAAAATGATTGTTCTTGCAGTTCAAAAGCTTCATTGTGAAGTAACGGTCAAAGGCTTCAGACACCAAAATAATCCTGGAAAGTTTTAAGAGATTGTTTAGAAAGCCTTCGGCTTGTTGACCAATGGAGCAGAGAGAGATGGGTAACACACCTAGTGAAACTGAGAATGAAGCATCCACTTTATTTGCTACAGGTGCTGGCCAGCTTACGTACTGTACGGAATAATTTTGCTGCATTAACCAACCTGCCGGATCGAGCACCTAGCAAGTAAGTGTGGCCTTTTCCTCCTTCCTAACGTTTTGAGTTAATGCTCCTTTCATTTTTGCTTTATTGTTTTTTCCACATATAATAAAACCTAATACAAAATACAATAAGCAACAACCATAGCAGCTAGTCTGTCATTTCTTGGGGGGAAAAGCATAACAGCAGTTTGAAGTAAGAACCACTACATAGAACAAGTTTATAATGCACATTTAAGTCTAGTCCAATAAGTCCCTGCAGATGTTTCTGGAGGTCTGAGGAGGTGGTCTCAATTGATCACCCTGCCTCATATGAAAGATGAATGGATGTCGAGTGTTGTAATAGGATAAAGGACTCCTCTTGCCTTTGGCTGCCTGACTTGACAGGTCAATTTCTGGGCCAGAGCAATGGACCACACCTGAGCATATTGTGAATCTGTTGACAGGCCTGCTGCGGAATGCCACCATTTAGCAGTTTCTGAATGAGCAGCTACCAGCAGAACTGTCAACAATTCCCTTCATTTTGTGTCATTACTGCGTTCTACCACGTACGCTAGCCTTCCTCCACCTGGTGTCCTTCAGATGTTCAGACTACAACTCCCATGAGTCTCAGCCAGCATGGCTGTGCGCTGATGTACACTGATACATAACAGCATAGACAAAGGTCACTGCAGTGAGCTGTACACATGATGAGCCAGCTGCTAGTTCTAGGTTTGGAATGGCTTCTGGCCAAATGCATGTGCTGCGCTGTCCATGCTAACCTTTTCCCACCGAGTCCAAATTTGCAAGTGGCATCAAATGCATGGCCACAGATGAAATTGCAACCACATGTTCAATTCCCCCATTCCCTTCCTTATGCCTGTGGCAGCTTAATTCTGTGCTGATGTCATGATCCCTACCCCCCTCCCCAAAAAATCACCAGTGACACTGATAAAAATGGTTTTATGCTGACGACTTACATTCCCCCCCCCCTCTTTTCTATCAGACGGTCACCCATGTGTAACCAACCATCCATCAACAAAGCAACCATAACAGGTAAGACAACTTAATGTGGCTTGATTTGGTCACACCTTTTCAATGAGATTGTATTGTTTTATAATTCAGTTTTACTAGCAAACCAGAGGTTAAACTAGTCCCTTTCCAGCTCTGGGAGGAGTGTGAGGAGCGTTTACGCGACGCACCTACACACTGCAGCCGGCACACTAACGTGTCGCGACACACGGTTTGGAAAGCTCTGGGCCACACTTTTCTATAGTCTGGATGATACATAGTTGGTTTGTAAAATACTTGTGGGCGTGTGTTAACTGAGCATTTTTTAAAGCCCATGAAAGGCTTCTCTTAGCCCATAGCATTTCCACTTCTGTGATAGCCAAGGTGTGCTACAATTTAATTTCCTTCATGCAGTGGTAGTGGTTGGGTCTGGGAAGCCGCCTCCCATTTAAAATTTCACACAATGCCTCGGAGTGGTGCTGCATTGAGGCATTGTGGGAAATTAGCATGATGAGCAACTCACAGCTGTTATTCCCAGTATGCCTGCTGGTTGGGACAATAATTTCAATGGGATTGAACATGACAGGGAGCCCACCTTGCTGAAACTAAGCCAGAGTTGGGCCTGTTTAGTGCCTGGATGGGACACCACCTGGAAAACCCTTTGTTCTCTGCCTGTATTTTCACTGAGAAATGAAAACTGGGGTATAAATATTGCAAACAAAGAATGCAGAGCTCCAGGTCTGCTAACGTATAGCTGGGCCTGCTGCCCACAGACATGATGCAAAAGGCAATGGGATGTTTATCAGCCAAATGCCTGGTTGCAGAAACGTTTTCACCTGGCGCCTAAAGACATGTAATGAAGGCAGCAGGCAGGTCTCCCTGGGGAGAGCATTCCACGAACAGGGAGCCACCGCAGAAAAGGCCCATTCTGTCTGCCACCCTCCGGACCTCTCATGGGGGAGGCAACTGAAGAAGGCCCTCCAATAATGACCACAAGGTTGCTTGCAGATGTGTGGGTGGAGGTATGGTTATGCGGTTCCTCCAGCAGTCCAGCCCAGAGCACAAGCCTGGGGAGGGAGGGGGTGCCAGCTACTTAATCGCAAGACGCGTGTATGTGCAAGTTCTGTGCACTTTTGGAGCTACTGTAAGCACATGCTTAGTCCATGAAGAACTAGAAACTACCAGCCATTTGGCCTCCTTGCGCTCAGGACACCGTTTTTGAAAACTGCATCGGTTACATGAAGTCATGATGATGGTGATAATCCTCCAACATTCATGGCAGATTGGCGACCCCATTGTTTTCAGTAGTTGAAACTTCAACTTCTGTTTCAATATGTTAGCTTTGCCTCATTTCACCTTTCATGGAATAGAATAGCAATGTTTGTGTGAGAGAGTGGTTGCCCCTTTACACACACCTGGGAGCGAATTAAGTGTTTGCCAGTCTGATGCCCAAACTACATGCGGCACCATTCACACAATTAGGGACGGCCTGAGTGGAGGGTAAGGCTGACCGGATATGAGCCACATCCATGGGCAGAGGCAATATGCTTCTGAGCATCAGTTGCTGGAAAACAGCCAGTGGGGAGACGACTCTTGTGCTTAGGTCCTGCAGGCAGGCTTCCCATAGGTTTTTGGTTGGCCACCATGTGAAAAGGATGCTGGACTGAATGGGCCAACAACCTGGTCTCCTTATGTGGCTTTAAAAAGTAGATTCGTACTGTGTGTGGCTGTACCAGTCCGAATCAGTGGTGAGAGAGGTAGGATGCCTTAACCCTTGGCCACCACCCCATGTTCTTTCTGTGATTGAGGTATCAATTTCTGCAATTTACTTTTTAAAAGCCCTTCGCTGCTATTGCTAATTGCATGAACAGCATCTCATCTAGCTTGGCCCTCAGTTACTAGAAAAGTCCATCTTTGAAAATGCTGTTGTTGCTAAATCAGTGTAGAAAATGCCTTGTTACTTGTCACAGACAGGAACTCTCAGGTTTATGGTTGTGATTAACTTTTTAAAGGATGCCCTCGTCTGCGCTTACCACTTAATATTATGCATGATTAAAATTCTGGTCTAGATGAGTCCACAAAGGCGGGTTAATACAGGTGAAGCTACATTTTAGCTTCTTGTCAAACCCCCGAGTTAAAAGATAATTCAGCACCTTCATAATTTACAAAGCGGTGTGAACTGGTGGATGGGGGTGCGCCCAGCTCACCTCATCACCCTTGCCTCAAGAAGAATATTGCAGAGCTGGGAAAGGTTCAGAGAAGGGCAACCCCAATGATTAAGTGGATGGGGCAACTCCCCTATGAGGGAAGATTGCAACATTTGGGGCTTTTGAGCTTAGAGGAAAGGCATGTAAGAGGAGACATGATAGAAGGGTATATGCATAATGTGAGAAAGCTCTGCCTGGAGATGCCAGGGCTTGAAGCAGGAGCCCTCTGCATGCAAGGCGAGTTCTCCACCACTGTGCTGTGGCCCTTCTCCATAACACTAGTGTGGCGGAATGGTTAGAATGTTGGACCAGGACTTTGGAGAGCAGGGATCGAATGCCTCTCAGTCATGGAGCTCACTGGGTGACCTTGGGCCAGTCACCATCACCTAGTCTGACCTAACTCAAAGGGTTCTTATGAAGATTAAATGGGGAGGAGGAGAGCCACGTACACCACCTTGAGATCCTTGGAAGATAAAGGTGGTATAGAAATGTAAGCAGCAGCAGCAACAACAATTGTAAAGCCAAATGTTTGAAGATTCAGGACAAACCAATCAAATATGCTGCTGGGAGAAGTAGCGATGGCCAGCAACTTACATGGTTTTTAAAGAGGATAAGGCAAATTCACAGAGGAGGTGGCTATCAGTAGCTACTGGTCACGATGGCCATGCTCTGCCTGCACGGTCAGAGGTAGTAATGCTTCTGAAGACCAAATGCTGGGAATCAGAGGTGGACAGAGTGCTGTTGTCCTCATGTCCAGCTTGCAGGCTTTTCTTAGGCATCTGGCCGGCGACTGTGAGAATAGGATGTTGGCCTGGATGGGTTGTTGGCCTGATCCAGAAGGCTTAACTAATGTTCTCAGCTTTTGTGCCATTCCTCTAACAGGTGTACACAGCAAAAATCACATAGCCCATGCAGTTATTTTGTTTTTAATTTATTGCATGTATCAGTATGAACTGATCTTATGCTTGGCTAGTGTGGAACCACTCGTAGTTTATAGTATGGTTGGTATTAATACATTTCTCACAGCTGTAGCCAGTGCTTTTTTCTGGGGGTACACAGGGGTACGCATGCCCCTAAACATTTTGTGAATCTTTGCACTTTTGTCCATTTACTGTATTTATTTTCCCTGATTTGAATTATAAAATGGTGATTTTCTTGAGTCAAAATGAGAGCACCCCTAAACATATTTTTTTTAGGAAAAAAAGCACTGGCTGTAGCTAAGGGTAAGAACCAAACAGCCCCTGAAGGTTTATTCTAGTCCTTTAAATTAGATACAGTACCAGCCTAACATTTTCTCTTTATTTTAATTCCTTGGGGTCCCTGGCAACTTAAAAGATTTGTGTGCATAAGCAATAAGTGGTTTTTATTGCTGCATTGCAACTGCATTGCAAACTAGAAAGTCCTTTAAGGGACTTTTGGAAAAAAACTATTTAAAAAGGGAGGCAGTATGGGACTTAGTACCGATTTTCCTCTGGAAGAATCACGCAGGCCTCTGTAATGCCTTCCTTCACTTCCGTCAGAAAACCTACCAGTTTTACCAGGCCTAGACTTCAAATTAACGGGTGTGCTTTGGTGCCTGAACGGTTTGGCTCCAGCATGCTGAAGGAAATGCGAAGCCAACCCAAAGCTGTGAGACGTACCAGAGGTTTGGCTCAGATGGTCCTTTGCCTGAACTGGTGGGCCCATCCCTAGTCATAATGCTGCATTTGATGTTATAGGTGTTACCATAACAACAGACTGAGTGGCACAAGCATAGAATCTCTCCTCGGGGCACATAAAACCCTGGTAGTTGTGGCAATGCACGTTATATGAAGGCAGAGCGCCAAGGAGGGCAGAAGGGATGGTGCAGGCTTCCCTCCCCTTCCTACACCAATTTAGAAATTTGGCGCCAGCTTTCCTCCTCACAGATTATTGCCAGAGGTGTTTGAAGTGCCGTCTTTTGCTGCTAGTAAGTTTCCTTGCTGTTTCCTTGATCCGTCAAAGACTGGATGACATCGACTTGCAGCAAAATTATACGCTGGGGGGAGGTGTTTGTTCGCCCCAGAACATTGGTATCACTTTAACTTATTGCGTCCCATCATACCTCTCCTCCCTTTCGACTGTTGCCCATAGACTGGCCTTCACCAAAGCGAGGTTCAACGTTTTCCCCTCCAATGTCCTGAGACATAGATTCTCAAAGGGCCAAGTCCCCGCCACGTGCGAATGTGATAAGGTGACGCCGGAGTCGCTCCATCACTTTATGTTCACTTGCCCCCTGTTCAATGTGCCACGGGCAAATTTGTTGGGATCAATCATACAGAAACTAGAGGGTACCCCACCAAAATTCCACCTTGCCCAAATCTTGCAGGATAAGGATTCCCACACGACCCTGAAAGTGGCTAGGTTCCTGGTCGCTGTCCTCTCCCAAAAGCGACGCCAAGGAGCACTACAAGCTAATTAAGGCGTAGCATGCCTTTCCATCTTATAGTATTTATTGTTATAGTGGTGTTTTAGCGACTGTTTTTTCTTCTCCCCACGGCACAAGCTGTCACTTATGTGTTGTTTTTACCTGTATGGGCCTATGGCCGTAATAAATATTATCTTATCCTTGCTGTTGCTCTGCCTCTGCAGGCCAAGGAACCAGGATAGAGAAACAGCTGTACAGGTGAGGTCTCCATTTGTCTGAGGCCAGAAGGGCAAAAATTAAGAGCAACGCCGGCCAGGGCCAGGAAAGACAAGAGGGGAATAAAGAAAGTCTGGAGCCCTTCATTAGGGAGCCCAGAATAGTGAAACACCTCATGGAACCTGATAGTATCTCCAGCTAGTATCTGAATTTTGCCTATTTTCCATTGGATGTTT